CCCACGCATTGTATAACCTGCTTCTTTCTGCAAAGCTCTATTGCTTTAAATATTGATCCAAAGACAGAGATGCTAGCTAGATTCCAATCAGCACGAATTCGAAATGTTTCTACTTTACAGGAGTTCATGTAATATTTTGGTTTAGGTGTCGAAGCGCAAACGAAAGAGCACGACTAGGGATGTCGAAATGGAAGAAAGCGGTAGCGCTGTGGCAGTGGAAGAGATCGGGAATAGTGAAGAAGCCTCCCCACGGCGTACCAAAAGATCTAAAGGAGAGAAGGGTGAAATGCGCAAAGTGGAGTTTTTTTTTCATCACGACCTTGATCAACCACGATAGTCATTATTCATTGCTAATGTATTTCTTTTCAAGATTCCTGTGCCGAAGCATCGTTACACTCCGCTGAAAGATAACTGGGTCAACATATTCACACCGATTGTGAAGAACTTGGGGTTACAAATAAGGTGTGTCGAATGAATTTCAAAAAAATTCAAGTCCTTTCAAAAAAATTTGCTTGGTTCGAATTATTGGCGGCACCTGTGCTCTGATTTGGACGTCGCCGCCAAAAAAGTCTCCGTTTTCGTTCAAAATTTTCTTTTTGAAGTGTGAGTGGCCGAAATTTTAGAGTACGCAATGCCTTCATAGAATACTACATATCTGAGCGCCATTATCGCAGCGAATCCAGCGTTTTTGGCTTGAGATTGAACCGTCGAAGACAAAGGACATCAACGGCGACCTCAGCCGTAGTCAACGATGCGCACAAATAAGCCATGAAGTGGGATTCCATCAAACGACGTGTGTGGTCTTGCAGGTTTCCGGGTGACACTGTGCGGCGATCGCCAATCATGTGCGTGTGTGATTGGCAAAGAGAATAAAGTGGGGGGGGGGTGCCACATATTCTCAGGCTATCAGGGACGCACGAATCGCAATTACTAATAATCATTTCTTTCAATGAGAACAAAATGTAGCCTTTTATTTCATAGCATATGAGTAACAGGTTAATTCCTCATA